CTGGCATGTGGTGCTGGGGGATCGAACCGCAGTCCCTGTGCTTTGCCAAGCTTGTTCCAAGTAGGTGCTTTAGACCACTGAGCCATCTCGCCAGCCCTTGATCAATAAATTTTAAAAAGTAAAATTATAAACCTTACAAACAAAATGTGATTTCCCTTTTTTGGTGACTTTTAATAGATTATCAGCAATTTATTTACTGCACAGATTACATAGAACTCATATGCTTAGGGCTGGCCAGATAACTCAGCAGACTGAAGGGTCTGCTTAGGCAGATGCAGGGACAGGGTTCAATCCCCAGTATACCGTGCCGGCCCCGCCCCCAGGGCACACTGAGCTGGGGATTGAGACCGGGCATGATGGCATGCACCTGTAATTCCAGCATTTGGGAGGATAAAAACAGAAAAATCACTATGAGTCCGATCTACATAGTGAGACCTGGTAGATCCTGTAGACACTGTACTAAATACATTAAAAAAAGATACATATGCCTAAGTAAGAACATATTTGATGAATAATTTCTCAATTTTATTTTTTTTATTTCAATAGTAAATTTTATTTAACCCAAAATACCAAAAATATTAACACTAAAACATGCAATCAACAAAATTTATTAAAGAGCTATTTTAAACCTTTCACTTCTTCCCATTATGTCTTCAAATTCTGATATATATATTTTAACCATCCAGTACATGCAGGATGAATACCACATTTCAAGTGATCAGTAGCAATGTAGGTGGTGACTATGGCACTGTACTGCAGATAACAGAGACAGGATGCATTTGGGTTACACCTAAGAGGTATTAGATCACTGTCAAGTATAGGGATGCAAAGTCACCCTAGGTATGGTTCTGGCCCTCAGGTTGCATATTTCCTGTTGGCCAAAAGAGGGGTGTTACAAATAACTAGTCTTCCATGTACCTCAACAACATTACATTAATTATCTGCATGTACAGCACTGCTGGATGTTAAGTTTTGGATCTGAAGTTTGAGTTTTTCAAAATCTGTCTCCCAAGCCTTATATACTGTTAGAGTGACTGAAACACAGATACCACTGGAGCGCCTGCTTCTAAGACAAATTTTTGCTAGCTCTTCTCTAGAGCAATAGAAATACTTACGTTTCTGACCTTAAAAGTCTATGTATTTTCAACAGAGGAGTGTTTTGTTTTGTTTTGTTTTGTTTTGTTTTGTTTTGTTTTGTTTTTGTGGAACCAGGGATTGAACTCAGGCCCTTGTGCTTTCCAGGCAAGCACTTATTCTACTGAGCAATCTCCCCAGCCCCAAGGGAATTATTTTTAAAAGTAAGCAGAATGTTGATTTGTATTATGTACATTAAATGACTGAAAAATTAAAATAGCTCATATTTAGGGAAAATCAATTTTATAATCATAGAATATATGTGGTTTACATTAGAAAGATTGGCAGACCTAGTCCTAATGTTTCAGATGCAGCTAAAGAAGATGAAACTGAGAAGAACTATTATTTATATATTGTAAAATAAAGAATAGAAGATTAATGAGGGGAAAAACTAAAACCACTACTTTTAAAAAAGAATTCTTTTCCTTTGAGCACTTTCTTTCCCTTTCACAGTATCTTTTGTGCCTTTCAGATTTTGTTTACTCTTTCAGGTTCTTAAACTAGAGAGACAATATGATATTTACACATGGAGTCCAATTTACTTCACTTAGGAATGTGCTCTCTAACTGCATCCATTTACTTATAAAAGCCTCAAGTCTATCTTTTTTTAATAGCTGAGTAATACTTCATTTTATAAAAATGCCACATCTTTTTTATCCATTCCTCAGTTGATGGGCATTTGGATTGTTTCCAACATTTAGCTGTGACAAATTGTGCTGCTATACACACAAGCATACATGTACAGCCATGGAATGATGTTTTCGGTTCTTTTGGAAAAATACCCAGGAGGAGAAGAGCTGGATTGAATGGCACCTCCAATCTTAGCTTTCTGAGGAATCTCCACACTGATTTCCACATTGATTGTATCAATCTACACTCCTATCAACAGTGGAGAAGGGTTCCTTTTCCCTGCAGCCCCTCTAGTATTGGTTATTGGTTGAATTCTTTTTTTTCCATAATTTTATTGATAAACAAATAGCAATGAGACAGTTTCAAACCAAATTGGTAGGACAGTTTCAATAATTAACACATTGCAAGAGCCGGGGAGATGGCTCAGTGGACTAAGCGCTTCCCTGACAAGCGCAAGGGCCTGAGCTCAATCCCCGGTTCTGAAAAAAATAAAAAAAATAATTAACACATTGCATACATTCTTCCTAGTGGTTAATTGCTGTACAAGATGTGGACTTGATATCCTATTTACAAACACCATTAGAACAAATCCCTCTATTCTAATTTCTCAATTTTGACCTTGAAATAGTAAGTTAGTCAAGGTTCTTACTTGATAAACATAATAAAGAGAAACAACTCTATATTATTTGGCCAAAATTAAATGAGTAGAAAAAATTTTTTAAAAAGCAATTCCTTCTCCCTCTGGGTGGCATTATTCCAAAACTTCTATCAAATTCAAGTATGTGTTTGATTAATTCTCATAAATACTACCTTTTTCTCAGAAAAACATAAAAATCCTTTTTCCTAAAAATACTCTTCTCATTTTAAATTCCACATGAAGTCACTCCAAGAGTTAAATGTTTCATCAGGCAAAATTTAGCAACAGAAATTTTTCAGTACTTCTTATTAAACAACTTGCTTCAAACACTTCACTGCAACAGTGTTCAACCTGTCTGTCACACACTGGTTCCCAAGCCTGACTATGTTTAGCATGTGTCAATACCTCGTGTATAATTTATAGCCCAAAAGATCAAATCTGACCGTTAAAGTACAAATGCATACTCACGACTGACAATAAGCAAGGCGCAAAATAAAATGAGAAATATGATCTTTTCTTCGTGGCTCATATTCATCTTCTAAATTTTCCTTAAAAATAATAACATGAACAAAATAAATGCATCAGAATGGTAACAGGTATAAAGAATTTCTGCATCAACAAAAAGGTGCAAAACACATTTCCTGGTTCTTGGTTTGTCTGTTTTGTTTTCAAGGCTTTGCTATATAGTGCAGGCTGGCCTCCAACTCACAATAACTCTCCTGCCTCAGCCTCCCGAGTGCTGGGATTACAGGCACACACCACACCTGGCCAAGAATACTTTTTTTTTTTTTGCCCCCAGAACTGGGGCTTGAATTCAGGCCCTTGCACTTGCCAGGCAAGCACTTATTCTACTGAGCTATCTCCCCAGCCCCAAGAACACATTTCTTAACATGTATTCCAAGATAATTACCATTTTAGTAAAGTTTCAATCAGGTGAAACAAACTGAAATGATCTCCTCCAAACCTCTATCTGGACCTACTTCCATCATATCAATCCCTTTTTCTTAACTTCCTTTCTTATATGCCCTCTACCCAGCTAAAACATTTCACCACTTCAAACACTTTTGGGGTCAACTTTCTACTCTGCCATATCACAATCTTGTGACTCCAAATCAATCGCCCAGTAGACTGTAGGTACCCTCATGCAGTCTGTGCTGTATCAGTCTTTGTAAAAGCCTTGTGCTAAACCAGACCTTTCCCACAACTGACACTCAGTACATAACACAGACAAGCATTTTTCCTTTTACTTACTCTGAAGGAAAACTTGAGCTTTCGAATTTCAGCCTCCAATTTACTCTGATATTGTTCAGTTCCTTTCACATAGCTCACGCCAAGATTTTCAACCGTTTTTAGTACTAAAAAAGGGGGAGGAAGTATAAATACAATTTAACTTTAGCAAACTAAATCCAAGAAAAAAATCTCTAGCAATTCTCTAATTATTCATTTTTAGAGTATGTCAGTGTAAGTCTTACTTTTTACAAGTAATTATAAACTACCAGTGTTTGGAGGAGAATAATCTCCATCTGTAGGCAGAAAATATTTGTGTCCCACAGCACAATCTCACACCAGGGATTCTTACCAAGAAAAGAGGAAAGGACAGTGGAGCCTTCTTACAGGAAGCCACTGTCTGTTTCTGTTGTTTTGTGCAGGGTCTCACTACACAGCACAGACTAGTAGTGCTCCTCCTGATTTCTGTCTCCCTAGTACTGGGATTACAGGCACGTGCCACCACATCTGGCCTCCATCACTGGCTCAGCACAGCGCGCCCAAGGGGTGGGGGGGAGCCGTGCAGCACGCAGAGCCAGGAAGCCACTTCCACACAGGAGAAAAAACCTAACACCTCCTGTTTACATTCTGCACGCGGAGCTGCCATTTAGAATCATAAAAATCGGGCTTTTCTGTCCTGATAAAGCAGAAAAAGAAAAAATCACATCCATGAAGAAGTGGGACCATCATGTCATCCATAGGAACTGTCCTGGATAGAGGTTACCTGCTGTTCACAGATCTCTAAAGTTCCTTGTCAATTCTTTAGATGACTGTCTCTGTCTCTGTCTCTCAGTACTAACAATTGAACCCAGGGCCTCTGCACTGAGCCCCACCCCCGTTCTTTTACTTTTTATTCTGAAACATAAGAAATACTCCAGAGAGATAGCTCAGCAGACTAAAGCATCTGCTTAGGCAAGTACGGGGACCGCAGTTCAATCCCGGGCACCACACGCCGTGCATGCTGAGCTGGACATACAAAAAAAGATCTTTCTGAGATACGACAAATGGTCCACTAAGTTGCTTAGATGTTCAAACTGAGTGAGCCTCCTGTCTCAGTCTCCCAGAGTGCTAGGAATACAGGCGTGTGCCACCATGCCCAGCTGGATGAATTCTTCTCTTGAGGTATTTTTTAATTCTTTGAATTCTTGAAATTTTCTAAGTTGCTTCCGAAACATAAACCCATGATCCACAGACACTTCCTTCTTAAGTTATACCCAGATGAAAGCATGTCCCCTCCTTCCTGCCCCTCTTCTTGCCATCCCCATCTACCTTACCAGTTTCTATCCACCACATCACTCAAGAAGGGCCCTCAGCCACCCTAACCTGAGATCTCACTCATCATATCCAAAGCACCACTGAATTCTGTCAACTCCTTTAGAAGCCAGGGAGGCACAGGTCAGTGATAGTGTGTACTGCATGTGTGAGGCCCTGCATTCAATCAACACTGTCAAAAATAAGCAGATAATACCCTAGTATCTTTACATTTTCTCCCTTCCTATCAATAGCTATTGTCACTACCTTAGTTCCAGTCCTTATCTGGGTGTCAAATCTAAGTGACACTTCGTCATTATCCTAACCTTTATCAACTATCTCACACTACTAAGTTCTCTAAAATGCCTTCTCCCTTGCCTTCACTCTTACATTCCACAAACAAGTACTGAATGCCCCATTTTACTATGCTCTTCTAAGGATGAAAAACAGTATCTCTCCTCCCCTAATTTCTCCACAAGAATATAAAGTACTGGAACATGAACTATGAAATCAATGCTAAGTGTTCCCATTCACATGTAATTCATTCCTTCCCCATCAACCCCCATCAATACAGAGAGGAAAATAGGGTCCCACTACATGGCCAGATCCCTTCAACAACCCAATCCTATACCATAAGCATGGCAAAAAATGACCTTAATTATCCATACTTCTCTATCCATCCTGAACTTATCACCATGCCCTCAAACATGACAATCTCCTTCACAGCGCGCCAAACTTTTGTATCAACAAGTGTCAGCTGGACAAATCTTTCACTTCTCTGTTGAAGTTTTCCACTCATCCTTCAAAGACCACATCTCCTTTTGACTTCTCTAAGCCTTATGCAATCAGACTAAGTCAATTACTCCCACTGCTATGCTTCTGTAACACTATTTACTTCTCCTAAAGCAGTAAAAATACCTATGACCATCATTTTAGATGTCTCTCTGCAGGTACTAGACCAAAGATATGTTTGCCTTCTCTCAGACGAGCCATTTACAGTACAGCGGTCCCAACAAATATGCCTCCTAATATATACATGAATGAATAGCAAACTCTCAACAACAAGCAATAAATATTTGGTGAATGGATTGCTGGATGAAGATCTTCAACTGGTCCTCAAAAATTATAACTAAGCTTCTCAAGCATTTATATATTCCAATTTAAATGTCACTTACATTTCAGTCTATCAATAGCCAAGGTCTCAAACTCTATCAGAGATATGTTTTCAGAGGGTGGTTCCAGGTAAAACTGAAGGCTATGAGGGTAAGAAGCACTCTTCTGGTCTCCTGCCAACCTCAGCTTCCTCCTCTTTACTCCAGAAAACTCCATCTTGATCACCTTTGGAAGGAAACGCATGACAAGTTGGGGGGGGGGAAAAAACATGAACCCACATATATTGAAGTTGAAAGCATGCACAAAACGTTCCAAGTGGTGACCCCTGGGAGACGTGCTTCCGTATTTTCCAGATTTTCTGCAATACACTTGTTATAATTCCGTAAGGGATGGTGGAGTTTACAAAACAGCCCTTAGATCGCCGTGATCCCCTTAAAAAGTTAAGATGGGGGTTTCTAGAGGTACCATCCCAAAATCTGACTAGATAAGAGACTTACAGAACTGTATCCTGTTACCTTCTATCTGATCTAGGAAGCAGAATGTCTTTTGGGTCCATTTATTTGAAGCTAATTCTAGGAACCGACCCCAAAAGCCTTCAAAAGCTCCCACTCTGAACCCCTCAATCCCCCAAGACGGAAGTTTCTCTCCCTCACCCACCACCCCGCCCTGCCGATAAACCTGCTCCCACTGTCGGGAAAGTGACCGTGTTTACCTCAACTTACAAGCCTCAACCCCAGGTTTCTTTCCGTCGTGTACTTCGTGAAACTTCTTATACCTGCGAACACAGTAACCCGCGAAAACACACAAGCTGACTGACTGCCTCTTTCCCTCAGTGGCGGGAGATTTTTATTTGGGACCGGAAGCGGAAGTGACGTAAAGACGCAGGCCCGCCCCGACGCCCCGCCCACCCTGCGCGGCCGCCGCGCGTGCTCAGGAGCGTGCGTCTCGGTGCTGAGGGGAGCTTGAGTGCTTTTTTTTTTTTTCTGCCTGAGTTTAGTATGGGGTATGCCTGGGGTCTTTCGTTTCAGTTTTGAGCTGATTTCCCGTTATGTGGAGTTGGTAGTTTCTGAGAGTTGAAACTGGGGTGCCCGAAAGCTGGCGTAAATAACGTCAGAGGTTCCGTAGCTTCCTTGAGGACACTCTCAGCCTCCTCGCCGAACACATCAGCGACCCCCGGGGGGGGGGGGGGGCGTCGCATCATTTCGCAGGTGAGAAAACAAGCTGAGAGGAATCCTCAGTTGCTCTTCTACGCCGGAGACGGCCTTTGTTGCTTTCGGACGCAAGCCCCATAGGACTAAGTTCCACTTCCACACGGGGCTGGGCCAGCGCAGCATCTGTACAGCATGTCAGGATGGGAACGCGCACTCGCGGAAAGATCGGGACTACGAGATAGCAGGCCCGCGGGGGGATGCAAGTCGAGAAAGCGCTGGAGAGAAGGCCGAGCGGCTCGTTTTCCAAACGTCCAGCTGCGGGCGTGAGCCCCACCATCTGCAGGGTTCCTGCGCTGCAAGAGAACGTCACCTGTGGCCGCTAGGGGGCGTGTGTCGCTTAGAAAAGTGGCGCCTGGAGGCTCAGGTGAAAGAAGTTATTGAGCCTGAAGATCACCTTGATGTGTTCAAGATTTTTTTTTTTTTTTTATGTTTAAGATCTTAGAAATGCAAAGTGTATATTGGAACACTATCAAGCTTCAAGGCGCCAACATAGTGTGAAGTGAACTGTGCTTTGTCCTAAGCAGCTTACATACCAATTTTTATACCCAAAAATATATAGTATAAAGAGGGGTTAAATTGTTAGCCCCATTTTATGAATAAAGAACAGTGAAGTAGAAAGGTCACGCGTTTAATAACAGCCAAATTCAACTCTAGGAAGACTGTCCCCAGGAACCACTGAGCTAACCATATCACTGTCCAAATTCCATTAACGAAAGTACAACCTACCCTTATTTCCTTTCTCCTGGTGTCAGATACATAACAGGCATCACCTGAGCCAAAGATAGCTGAAAAGATGTGAACTGCCACCAAAAAGAAAACACTGGTGCATAGACCATAAGAATTCACACCAATAGCAGCTCTGTGATTACGGAAGTATTTAAATGAAATGGAAAGAAAAAAAGATTAAATAATTGACTATAAAAATACTTAATTGTGGGGGAGCTGCAAGATAGCTCAGCGGTCTAAACTGCCTGCTTTGTCAAGCATAGGCAAGCGCAGGCACCGCGGTTCATCTAAGGCACCACATGCTGCACCAGCTCCGCCCCCAACGCGGGCTGTGTGGGACACAGACAGACAGACAGACAGAAAATACAGAATTGAGGGGCCTTGCCCCATTAGCTCAGTTGTTTAAGGGCCTGCTTAAGCAAAACAGTCAGGCTCAGGATGCTGTGGTTCTATCCCCAGATCCTCATGCCTTACCAGATCTGCCTTTCAGGCATCCTGAGCCAGCCAAAAAAAAAAAAAAAAAAAAAAAAAAATCCTTCTGAACTTTAAATAAATAAATAGAAATTTTTAAAAATACAGAATTGTGAATCTAAAAACTTCATGGAATTGGCTTACAGTCATCAAAGTTGATAAATGAGGATACACAAAGAAGTTGAGTCAGTTTAATAGAGAAAAATCACAAGACACAAAATGAAAAATGGAAAGATGAGGCAAGACTACTCATATACTTAAAGCATGAAATATGTTTATAGCACAAAAAAATCTTCTGCAAAACTGGCCTAAAGGGTTGGGAGATAGCTCAGTGGAAGGTCCTGAGTTCAATCTCTGTACAAAAAATACAAAAAAAAAATTGGCCTAAGGTTTAACATTTTGGGAACGTGAACCACTGGACAATTTGGTGAAAGATTAGTGAGAATAACACATCACAGAGCAGGGGAGGTTGCTCAGCGGTCTAAGCGCCTGCCTGGCAAGCGCAATGTCCCTGGTTCGATCTCCAGTGCCACATGCCCTTCAGGCCTCAGACCCCCAGGCACGCTGAAGCGGTGACCAAGGCCGGGCATGATGGCACATGCCTGTAATCCCAGCACTGGGGAGGCTGAAAAACGAGAGGATCATTACGAGTTCGAGCTGCCTAATGAGACCCTGCACGCGCGCGCACACACACACACACACACACACACACACACAAGTGATTACTGTGATTTTTATGACCAGCTCAGAAAAGTGGAAAGATGATTACATGTAACTTTACCAACATCTTACTGCATCACATAATAGCTGCCTTTTCATCTTAAAAGCCTCTTTTAAATGGCAGGAAACAAAGTAGCTTGTGTCTGTCAGCTATTCCAGCACCTCTATCATGTGCTAATGCTGCACTCCGTCACTACCTCACTGTGAAGTGTTTTCTGCAGCCAGAGGGACTTGCAGCCTGAACCGCAAAGCGCAGCAGCATCGCACAATGATGTGACACAGCGCGGTAGCCATTTTCAGTAAAGCACACACTCTTTCATGAATTTATTTCATCGATAAAATTGGGTTGATACAATGCTCAGCCCTGACAACCAATATCCTTGTAAACTGAAGCACTGACTTCACCATGAACAGGCAGAAAACATATATACATACAATTTTACTTCCACTAAAATCATAAGCATCTCAGAAACAGGAACTACCATGTCATTCACTTTTGTAACCCCAGTTCTTGGCACTCCTCAAGCCTTCGACAAATGTTTATGCGGTGGGATTGATGAATGCTGTGAGGGATGTATGAAAAAAGTGCTGGCTTTAACTTCACAGATGGTTTGAATCAAATGTAACTCCAACCTAAAATGCTTAATGACCTCATCTGAAGACGCCACACACATTCCTTCCAGAGTGACTTGGCTCCCCAGTTTAGCCCATGTCAGAGCACCAAATACCTTTTCTGAGAGAATTTCCATGAATCATCCCTGCTCAATTCAATCCCTGCGCTCGACAGTACGGGCTGCAGACAGATGGCCCCCCAGGGTGTCCACCTTTCCATGACTCCACAGCCCCAGGACATGTGTCCCACAGTGTGTTCCACAGTTGAGAGTTGAGTTGCCATTCTTGGTAAATCAAAGTGAGTGTTCATTCTTGCCCAGTGCAGGGTGTTTTGCTCTAAAAACCAAGGGTGGAGCACGTTTCTTTACCAACTGAGCAGGCTGCAAATTGTAGGTCCAGCCAGCCCTGCTTGCCATGGAAAACAGAGGAACGAGAAGTTTTCCTGTCTGGGATCGCTGACCCATAGAGGCTAACGCGAATTTAGCCAACCCCTGCTCACTCCGCCCTCCCCATTTCACTGCCCAACCCCGGGTGATGGGTAGGAAAGAAACCTTTAAAAAGGCGTCTCATTCTTTCTCCCTCTGCTTCGGATCGTTTTTTGTTAATCTAGCAGCAAGCGAGGAGCAAGAGAGCTAGAGAGAAAGTATTCTCCTGGAAGGAAGCTTTGATCCAGAAATACTAAGTGAACCCCCTACCAAATGTCAACGTTTTCCTTTCTGGGGACACAAAGCTGATGAAAAAGCCAAAAACTCCTGTCCTCATAAGTTTTACACTCTCGTGAGAAAGCGAAACAACAAACAAGATACATATACACATTACCATGAAAGGTAACAGGTGCTAAGCTGAAGGAAAAAGTCAAACAGAGAAAGAAGATATAAAGTTTCTGGAAGAGGCACTGAAATTTTAGACCGTGGCCAGCAGAGGCTGACTCAAAATATTACCATGAAGAAGAAATTAGAGATTGGAAGCGTAGCGTGCAAGTAGAAGGCGTGTAGACAGAGAAGCCACATACGTGCCATGTGTTTTCATTCCCCACCTAAAGCCCCTCTGGCCCTGCTCCTGCCCGCTGGTCCTGATTTGAATAGCAATATAAGTGACTTTTTGTATCTCTGCTTACAGTTAGGCTCAGTCAATGAAGAGACCTCACAGGAGACAGGAAGGAGAGAAGGAAGGGAGATCAGTGTGTTCTCTCCTGCAGCTGCCTCCCTCCAAGGCGGCCTGTGTCGCCAGCCTGTCATTGCTCCTGTCAAGGTGGAGGACCCCAGTGACGCTCTGGTTTTGAGCCTGATAACAGCCCCCTTCCCTTTGCTTGTAGGCCTACAGACAACTACACCTCGACTTCCAGTAAGTCCCCCTTGATGGCTGCACCTACCCTTGTGGTTCCTGTGCTTTTGTAAAAAATAGAAAATCCCTGCACAATGAAATAAATAAATAAATTCTGGAGCTAGCCTCTTTTGACTATACAGTCTGTCTCTCACTGAACCCTCACTGGTGAAACTCCACATTTATATAAAAGTCTAAAAATGAAAGTGAAATAAGATATTGTTCAGGGATACATACTGTACACTAGAGGTGGAAAAATGATCAAGTTGAAGATGGTAGTGACGCTGAGGAAAGGGGGAGGCACTGACCAGAGCCCTGCTGGCCTCTCCTTTCTCTCCCCGATGGACACAAGACTGGTCTTTTAAGACTGTAACAGAAACTGAGATTTTGCTGAACACTCAGTGGAGAGGTTTCCTGAGAAGGAGGTGTGCTGGCAAACGATGGTCTTCCACCACTTCCGGCCACGCTCTGTAAGGGGAGCTCTCTGAGGAGAGCCCCTCTCCCTTATCTGGATGCCTCACCTCTAAACCTCTCAGGGGCTAAGATCCAAAAGGTCTTTGTACTCACCACTGTTCCCTCTGTTCTTAACTGTCCTTAGGGATCCAGTGCACCCCTTGCTCTGACAAGGTAGAAGGGGTCACCTAGAAACTCCAGCCACAATTTTTCCTCCCTCGGGCTCTGAGCACCCCAAAATGGCTTACTCAATTGAAGTAGCAGGGTGTATACCCAAACAAGAATCCTGAGGCTTGGGCCAGGGAGATAGCCCAGTAGAATAAG